ATGATAAGAAAAGGCCCAATCCGCATGCTAAGATGTATTAATGGGCTTGGCGCATGAACATGATAAAAAAAGGCCCAATCCGCATGCTAAGATGTATTGATGGGCTTGGCGCATGGACATGATAAGAAAAGCCCCAATTCGCATGCTAAGATGTATTGATGGGCTTGTTTTTTGTCTTGTTTTGTTTTACTTTGACTTTTCTATGCTTAGTTGTCATTAGTTGTAGTCTTTTAGAAAGATTCCTATATCAAGGCAAATTTGTTTTCCTAAATTAAAGGGATCCTCATTAGATTAGCTATTTCCTTATAAGATAATGATTTTTACATGCCTATATAAAGGCTACAACTATGTAAAACGAGATCAACAATAATATAGAGGTATTTTCAGCAAGCTTAGCTTTGCCTTATTGTGTTCTTGGTAGAATATAATATCTTGACTTATCAAGGGAGTGATCAACCTTTGTGGCATCTTCAAGATTGGATTTTTTTAAGGACTTAGTTTCCTTAATGTTCTAATCTGATCAACTACAACTTGCTTTCTAGCTTCTGGGTGCGCATAACAACTTGATTCAAGAGTTCCTAGAGCAGGTCGTCTAGTGGGTTCTTATCACTAAGAGCACATTTCTCCAGATTTCATAAATTCGAGCAACTGCGTTTATTGTTTTTCCAAAAGAAATTGGGGCTGAACAACTCTCATATTAGGCTACTACAGTAGCTTGGAGAGAGGGGTGCCTAATACCTTCCCTCTCCCAATCCTTGGGACCCAAATCTCTCGGTTGTGTACCTTTTCCATGGAGAACAGAGTCACTATCAAAGACTTAAATCGAATTTTTCAAATCTACAAGTAAGGTCCCATTTTTTCTAAAAAGTGGGTGGAAACTCCATCTTTTTGAGCCGGCCTTGAGTTTACTGGAGCTCACAATCCTAAATTATTTAACTTGAAGTTTTTTGAAAATCATAGGTACCCAATTACACAAAATGTACGTGTAATAGAGCATTTTTTAAGGAGTGTATTGTAGAAGGATATGTTGCAAATGAATGCTAACATTTTACTCGATGTACTTCGAAAAAATTGAGACACATTTTAACCAACCAAGGAGAAATGATGATGATGAGGTTGTTGAAATGGAAGAAAGTTGGTATATCCTTTGACAATTAGGCCATGCCTTTGGGAATAGTGGTGTAATTCCCTTAAACCAAGACATATTAAGGAAGGCAAATTAATTTGTTTTGTGTAATTTCCAAGCAATTGAACCATACATTTGATAGGTGAAATATCCTTAAAATATAGTTATAGACAATTTAGCTTATAAACTTAAGTATCAATTTCACTTTTGTGAGCTTCGGAAAGGTCATGGTCGGCTCAAAAAGATGGAGTCATCACCCATTTTTTAGAGGAAATGGACCCTCATTTTCATATTTGAAAATTTTGATTTAAATCTCTGATAGTGACTCCGTTCTCCATGGAAAAGGCACACAACTGAGTGATTTCGGGTCCCAAGGATTGAGAGAGGAAAGGTACTAGGTGCTCCTCTCTCCAAGTTGTTGTAGCAGTCCAATACGGGAGTTGTTTAGGCTCAATTTCTTTCGAAAAACCAATAAACGCAGCTGCTAGAATTTATGAAATCTGAAGAAACGTGCTCTCAATTTCCCTAAGACCTTTGCCTCATTGCCTCTATACTCAATCTAGAAGAAATCGATAACAATGCTTCTCCAAGGTCTCAGAACTTCATGCAACTCAAAAAAACTAAAAAAAGAATTACCTTTCATATGTACCTTGTCAAAAGTTTTCCTACAACTAGGGATGATATAAAATGAAGTTTAAATGGGTTCTTGAGATAGGGAGTGTTTCTGGTTGCAACAACTTCTACATGAAAATGGAGGAGGCGAGTTTGGAATTTGAGGTTTAGAGTACCTCTGAATTTCATGTGAACAAGAGGCAATATATGGGCTAGGTGTTAGCACTCAATTTTTGCTTGGTCTATCATCTCAACCCCTAACTCACCCTGAACATGACCCTTCTGATCTCTACAAATCACCCAAAAACCCAAGTTTTACTACGTGAGCCCTCAGATCTACCGTTAAACCTGCCTGATACCTATTCGATGACCTCAATTGACCCTCACTTACACCTCAACCATTAGAGCAGACAGGACCATCAGACCTAGAACTGTCCAAAACACCTTCCCATGAAAATTGAACTCTAGATTCCTCCGTTTACCTTTTCATCAAGTGAAGATTCCATTTCAACTCCTATCGTTAGCCTAAACACTTAGAATCCAGATTCCCTTGATCTTGACACATCTGAACCGATCAAACCACATCGTTAAACTCTGGATACATCAAAACACCTGCCCATAAAGTTTTAACCCCAAATTCCCCCATTTACCCTTTCATTAAATCAAGATTCTATTTCAGAATATCCCATTGACCCAAATTCTTATGATCTTGACCCCCCCAAGACTAATCAATCATCATCATCATATCCTAGGCACCTTCAAGCACCAACAAATAAAATTTCATCCAAAACACACCATTGTTTACCCTTCTATCACATAGATTTCATTTCGATGCTAGAAATTTACTAAATCAAGCCCATTCCGGATTTGCTCGATCTAGGCCCATTTGGCCCAATCTGACCCCACCAATCAATCCAAAATGTCTAAAAATCCCACCCTATAAAATTTCTACCTAAAATACCCTCGTTTACCCTTCAATCTAAAAATATTATATTTCGGCCAATCTTGCTAACCTATACACACAAACCCACTCTCTGTGGTTAAACCTATCTCAACCCTCCACTTTTTGACTTGGAACCACCCATCATTGAACTAGGACCCTGGTTTGACCCCCCTAAACTTCCTTGAAATTATAAAATTACCCCTGCCTTTCATATAAATTCAACCTAAAGTTTCATTCGCCCTAATGGACAAATTCCCTTCTCCCCCTATCGAACTAGAAGCAGCGGTGCCCTTTTTCATTGTCAGCTCGCTCATTATTACTTCTAATTGAAGTCTTCCCACTTTTCAATCTCTGTTGTTTGCTGAAAACTCGTCGCTAGTGCTCGAAAGACTAAAACTCAGCTAAAAACGACCACTATTTGATCGTATCGGAACAAAGTCCATCACAAAATTAGTCTTCTGGTTCAGAGGTCGATTCCATCCATTCATTAGCCACAAGTCAGAGTAAACATCGATCATTTGTTCTTTCGTGCATATCGTTCTCAGGCCACATTCTTCCCAGGCAATCCCTTCTCTCATTCAGTGTGTTCGGGTTTTCTTTCTCCTAGCATTTTACCGACATCTGGAGTTGGGAGTAAAGGGAATGGTTGACTCAGCCAGGTACTTCTCGGTACCAATCCAGATTTAGGTTTAGGTTCTTTTTTTCTCTTCAGAGTTTAAAACCTGTTTTACCCTCAAATCTCATAATAAATCATGTGATTTCTTTCTTTTTGAATCATTGTCTCTTTCTTTATTTTACCTCTTAGATCAGTTCATCATACTAAATATTTTTTATAGAACGGCTATGGTTTAATTCTATTAATCATCCTAAGATATTTGTTCTAGAGATAATTATGGTTTATACCATCTCATGCTTTGTTTAGCTAAGTTTGTGTCTGATGTTTGAGATATTAGTTCTTTAAACTATATTTGGTGAGCTATATATATAGCTCCTCCATGAGCTACTTTGTTTCATCTTGTTGTGTTTCTTTAATTCTTATACGAATATTTTGCTTGATTGAGATCCCATGTGGGCCCCACCTATTAGACCCGAAATAGGGGTGTCTAACCCCTTCCCTCTCCCATCCGAGTCTTACTCAGACTGGTTAGCTGGTGCCAAAAGCTTTGGAGTCACTACTAAAATGAAAAACATTTTTGAAAATTATTCCCGGAGGTCCCATCACCTCCATTTTCTAAACTAATGGGTGGCAACTCCATTTCTAGCCCAAGTGGTAATTGAGTCATTTTTCCAATGCTCACAAACTAGCGACTCCACTAGGGAATTCTTGGACCATAGGTGAGACCTACATGGGGCCCATTTGGCTTGATTGCCTTTTTCCTATTTATATGCATGCTTCTTTGTTGCTTTCGTCTTTTAGAATAACAACTTATTGTTTTTCATTGATTATTAGTTAATTCTTTTACTACTTTATATTTGTTATTGCTTATCTGCTCACTTACACTCTACACACATAATTTTGCATTAGTTTTAATATCCCATGTCCTATTAGGGAGGGCCCTAGGTGGCAGGTCGTTGAGGCCTTGGTCCTAATAGTCGCACTAAATACCCAAACCAGTCACCAATCAAAGAAGCCCATTTGGCCAATGGGTGGAGGTTTGAAGACCAACTACCTTACCTTGTTGGAGCCTTGTGTCTAGAAATAAACCGTGTCAACCCATGCATTTTCACTTAGATCTTTCTTTTTTTTTTTTGATAAAAAGTAGTAGGCGAGATCACCCTAATTTTAGGATAGGACACACGTGTTGAGCAATTTGTAGAATAACAAAAAAATAAAATAAAATATGATAGGATAGAAAAATAAGAAAGGAAAAAAAAAGAGAAGAAAAGGAAGAAAAATTGGAATAAAAATAGTAGGAAACTTTAGCATTTTGTTGGGATAGATAAGGAAAGTAGAAATAGCACAAATGCATATGAAAATAAAAGGGAGGGTAATGAAGAAAATAAAAAATCAACGAAAAATAAAAAAATCAAATATAAAAAATCAAATCATCAAAAAAGAGGAAGAGGAAAAATAATAATGATAAAGGGAAACAAAAAATAAAAAAGAGTAACAAAAGCTTTTTATGTAAAGAAAATGATGTTGAAGAAATGATGATGATAATAATAATAAATAAATAAGAAAAATTAAAAAAAGATTGTAAAAGAAGAAGGCATGAAGATCCCTTGTCACAATCCAAGATTCTTGAAGTTTACTTTAATCAAACCAAGTTTTGGGAAGTATTTACACATTGGCCCACTCCTTCCTCATAGCGATAATGGTCTCCAAGGCCTGGCTACACTCTTCGAAGCCCTTTAGGTCTTTCAATTCCTTCTAACATTTGGCAAGGATCTTCTTCTACCTAGCACATTCGTCCATCAAAGCCTCAAGTTTCCCTATTACCTTTGCGATACTAGCCTCAACCACTTTCCAATGAAGGCGTACGTCTTTCAATGATCAAAATAAAATGGACTGCGACACCCTGAGACCGTCCTTCCAAAATGCATGGGCTAGCAAACAACTCGTCCCTCGATCTAAGCCATGTCGAAGCCCATGACAGAAAAGGATCTACAGGCCTCTAGCCAGCAAGTGAAATTCGACCATGAAAGCTCTTCCACAGGATGATTCATTATACGGTCCATCATGGTCGCAATGGTATTCAGAGTAGGCCTCACGACCATCGGGTGCAGGTTTGCAGCTGGCAACCATCCCGCCCATATGACAGTTGAAGCAAACTTTGCCATTGAACTGGAAACTGAGTACTTGTCGCCCCTACGATGACCCTGAACATGAACAAGGTCTACGTCTGCATAACCCAAGGGTGGGATGCCATGTTTATCAAAGTACTCCCCAAGTTCCTGCCGTATCTGAGCGAACTCCTCCTCATATGTTAGTTTCTCAGTTGGCAAAATGATACCAGACCCTGTATCCTTGTCCCCAGGCTGGTCTTCTAAGTCCATAGGGGCTCAAACCCCTACAATGGGGACCTTTGTCTCAATAGGAGACCTGACCTCTGAATCCACAGGGGCCTCAACCTCGACAGTTGGGGAAGGAGCGGAGACCTCTTCACAACAAATTACTGGCTCTGCCTCTATGTCCACTTGACCTTCTTCTTCCCACATCGCAGCATCAAGAGCGATACTGCCAACACTAGCATCTTTAGCGACTCCAAAAACTTGACTGGAGGGCTGTGGTGATCTCAACTCCTCCTCTAGCTACCTAATAATAGGCGTTATTAGCACGTTGGAAATATCTATATGAAAGGGTGCCTGCGATGACGTAAAACATAAATAGTCAGTGCGATGAACCTGAACGTGATAAAAGAAATATATCAATAAAGAATAACAAACCTAKGCTTACCTCTTGGCCCACATCAGGGACTCTTGAAGTCTCTGCACTGGATTGAACATCCTTGACCTTCACACGCTTTAGAAGAAAAGACTGAACACAAGTTAGTTACGATAGCAGCACATGATTGCGATGCCGAAAACTCAAACGCCTTGACAAATAAAGCTTTGCTTACCAAATTCACCTCTTCAGAAGGGGCCACTGGAACTTTCGCCGCTTGCAAAATGTCATGCTTCCCACAGACTACAAATACAACAAACCAAGCATAACTTAGTGACTCACACTAAAATCAGGAGACACATCAACTAAACAAGGAGAGAGAATAAATCACATACCGAGTCACTATCTGCAAGACCCCGCTTTGGTCGGGGAGGAAACATCCTTTTCATGCGCCCGCTCAAAAAATGGATATAGCTAGGTAACTATAGTGGGGGCACCACAACCGTTAATTCCACTAGTTCCATGATGGTGTAGTCTCCTACATAGGCGATAGTGCTGGAGACTCCTGCCTGCACTCGGTATGACACTCCTAAGCTTGCAATGAGGCCATGTCTGAGTCAACAGACTGTGGCACAACTAGAGTATGGAAAGATCAAGGTACCCTCACGGACCCTGGCCTCTTCGCAATGGGAGGATGACTGCTTTCCCCTCCTCAACAACCGGTGGCCTTCTCCCGCGCTTCACCCCCACCTTCTCTAGCGAATGTGATGAAGGAGAAGATGGAATGTCCCCCTGGTTGGTAGCATGACTAGCTGGGGGTGGTGGTTCTTCCTCACCAACTCCTAAAAACCCCCAAATAATGTGCAAAGGTAGGATAAATGGAGAGACTTACAACCTTGCACCCTCATAAACCTTATGACAGGGAATCTCGAGCAACCGGGAAAGGCACGGTCATGATGCCAAACCCAGAAAACGTCCTCCCCCAAGGACCTCAAGAACTGACCACCGATATCATTGTAGCCAAACTGATGCATCACCTGGTCTAGATGGTAGGCAACCAATTGTGCCTCGCTGGTGCAGTCAAGATTTGCTACCACACCAGGCCATGTCACTAGTCGTGCTACACCCGTAGCAAGGCCATCAGCGTCCACAACGCATTGTTGATCACCATCCTCTGGAACAAGCATGCTGATATAAAATGGCATGGCATGATGAACAGCTCGAGGGAGGCCAGCCTCATGTTGATCTCACTCATCCTGAAATTTTTGTGCCTGGCAGCCTGGAGCCAATGCTTCCCCCTACAAACTTCAAACACCTTTTCTTCAGATTCTTCACCCCTTAAAGTGACAACGACAACTCGCCTCAAGGAGAGACGGTAAGGTTTGATGCTGAGGTCGAGGCGCTCACATAGAACATCCAAAGGAATGGTGCACAAATGTAGCTAATGTGCCTCTTGCACTTTGGGTCCACTATCTGTTGGATGGTGTCATCCATCTGCTCGTAGAGGTAACTCAAGAACATTGAAGCGAGGGGCAGCTGGTGGCCATTGGCAGCGAGAACAATGAGTGAGACCAATACCGTGCATAGGCCGTAGTCTGGAAGCCTAGGAAAGAAGAATCAGGAAGGACATACAAAATAAAAGCAGTAAGATGACACTGATTGTCTACACCCTGCACCATTACATCCCTTTTTCCATGGGATTCAAACCAGAATTCTAGCCATTGTCCCAATGGCATCTTCCCCCCGAGTAGTGGTCCAATCCACTAGGACTTTGTAGGCAGCAATTTTTTGAAGGAGTTCATCTCAAAGCTCCCTATAAAGTCAGTAGGAATAGATTCGATGTGTTGGAGGTTCTAGGCAGATACAGCGCCCTCGATGGGTAATGCCAAAAAGGCAACCACATCTTCCACGGTGACAGTGAACTCTCCAAAGGCCCCTACAAAGTTGTGGGTACGACAACACCAATGCTCCAACAAATGACCCACATACTTCACCCCTCCCTACTAGTAAGATTCATATAACAATCCACGAATCTAAGTAGACTGGAATCCTATAGCATCTGGCAATACATGGGGTTTTTGAGGAAATACTCTACCCAAGAAGTATAGATATTGGAGGACTTCAAGCTATCGGTCTTGGACTCCTGACACTTATAGGACATGGATCGGTTGGGCCATCCACATAAACACAACTCTGTGCCATGGGTAGGGTTGAATAAACCCTCCACACCCCTTGACACTAGTATCGAAGGCCAGAAACCCTGTTCCTCTTCCGCTTCTATAGCCGTTTCCCTCTCTAGTAGTAGTTTTGTTCTGCCCACCTCCCTAAGGAAATCAAAGAAAGGACAATCCATCCCCATCTCCCCTTTCTTTTGGTGAGGAGCCATGACGAACAGGCAAGAGTAAGACAAAACAAGAAGGTCAACAGAGAAAAGAATGAAAGGCAAATGTAGAAATACAAAAAGTGAAACAAACAGGCGAGAGGAAGAAGAAGAAGTGGGGATTCGATGTGGTTCACTGTCCTTTTATAAATACTCCTCATGTGCTAGGAATTACAAATGGCACCGCTGAAGATGAACATGCACGAGTACAGAACCCCAACTAGAGCTTAATAAAAAACAAATCTAGAGAAAATTACAATTATGCCATTTGAAAAGCGGGATGAAACAATGCATTAATTCAAACGAATGGCCACATCATCAACCGCCAACTTAAAGTATCAGATACCGGGTCTGTAGCACATGCGCAAATGAAACACATTTATTATGATAATTGCCACGTGGCCATCGCCCAATGACTTACCGATTTCCATCAGGTGCCGAATATGATACGTTATCAACCCCCACATCCTCACCTAACACCGTGCACAAACCTCACCCTGGCACGTAGGGGGGCTTCACGCCAACATTGGTACAACATCATTAGTGTCTTTTGCTAATTCCCTTCCTGCCAATGGCCAGGGGGCTGAAATGCACAAACTTGGCATGGAATTGCTCATTAACAGAATGAGAATGATCAAAAGACAAGGGGGCTAAACCATGGAGTAACGTCGTCGAAGAACAGATACTTAATGTATGTCCAAGACCACAAACACATGATCCCTCGAGTAACCGACTCCCAGTTTGTCAACAAACAGTGAGGCTAACAAAAGCCAAAATCAAGTTGATATCATCCACACAAAATAGCAAAATAGAGTTAATCTCTAGACCCAATGTGCAAGTATCCATTGACTGATTGCAAGTCCCTCAGAGCATAGTAAACACTAGATTGATACCACTGAAGGGATGAGAGATTCATCATATGGATGGCCGAACCCTGCAGGAAGGTTGGGCGAAATTTCAAAAATTTCTCTCTCTCCCATCTGGGAATCGCATTCCCTATTTTAGAAAACTGCATTTTCAAGGATCAATCTTGAACCAAATCGGACTAGATCTTAAACCAAAAGGGAGGAGAGGGATATACCTGATACGGAGTAGCAGTAACTCCCAATGAAGGTGTTCACGCCCAAGGAGGAAACCAAAATCTGCTTTCACTGAAGATGACACAGTGTGAGGTGAAGTAGGATCAGCAGGATGACTCTTCAGCAAGAACCGAATTCTTCAGCAAGAATGGAGTACAGGGCGGGTGAGCACGGCTTCAGATTGCTTTTTCTACCAAGAAGCAATATCCAGAACAATTCTTGATCACTCCTACAAGTGGAGATCGAACTTGGTATGTTTTGCATATCTGACCGCTCTCTTATTTATAGCCTTAAAGAGACAACCTCCTTATCTGATTAGAAGTTTCCTAATCCAAATATTTATTTTAATATGGACTCTTTAGGTGATAAGTTTAATCCCTTATCTTATTTGTAGTTTAAGATCAGCTTAATCCTAATCAAATTAGGAGTTTCCTTATCCAAATCTTTATTTGGATCTGGACTCTTTAAGTGGATAAGACTTATCCTCTTATCCTTATCTACTGATCCAAACCTAGATCCACCCCTATTTAATTAATCTAATTAACCCAGTTCAAAATTGGGTTTTAGGCCCATTAAGTTTATATGCGCACTTAACCTCTTAACCTGCTACCTAGTTGGCTCTTCTTGTATGGCGTGGGACCCAAACATTGATCTACACATCAGCCACATGGGTTCAACCCAGCCTTTGTTACACGGCCTGGCTGAATTCACTGTAGGAGACAGTGAACCCCTGAGTCCATCACTATGAACTTTTAATGAGCCCAACATTTACACTAAATGGTCCTTGGGTCCAGCCACCTTATGTAAACCCAAGGACTATGGGTAGATGAAAGACTAGCCCATTAGGTACTACCCTCAATGGTCTTACACTTAACCACTCAGCCCAT